ATGAAATCCGGGAGGCTACCTCAATGTCCAAGTACACATAATGGTGTACCAGAAAGCTGAAAAATGGATGAGGGTGGCTCAATGAATGCATATGGATTGATCTTCAGACTGTATTAAGTGAAAATAGCAAATTGTTGAAGAGTCTATATAGAATGCCACTTAAAAATGAAAAAGAAAGTTCAGAAAATACGTATATCTGCTTCTTTTCATAAAGATAAATCAGAAAATGGAGAAGTTGGCCAGTTATAAGGGAAAATATATAAGAAAAGAGGGCAAGGAATGGGATGAAAGGGATCAGGGATAGAGTGCCACTTCCCTGGGTTTTCACTAAAACTGAAAACAAACTGAAATAAATCTCATGTGTGAAGTGAGTGGGGTAGAGTTCTGGTGAGGAAAAAGGAGCAATGTTATAAAGACATAGGATCCAGCTCCCAGGGCTCCTGATGGAAGTTGGGTAAAAGGATGCTGAGTGACAGCAATTAAACAAGGAAGGAATAATACAGTTGGAAATTCACGTTGCAACCAAAACAGTGAATATTGGTTCAGGTGAGAACCATTCTATATGCTGTGTCTAGGGAGAAATTTTAATGAGTAGCCGAACTTCCCCACAGATTGTTTATTACTAAGCAGAGTGAAAACAGTGGAGAAATCAAACAAGATTTGTAGCTGGATAGTCAAAATTCATATAAAAAATGAGGGACTTATTAGAAGCAAGGAAGAAAACATAAACTATAGAGTTGAGAAACAGGATCACACTTTGGATGACCAAAGTTGTCATAAACAACCCGGGGCTCCACGGAGCTGAATGTCATCTCAGAAGAAGCTGTTCATAGCCGGCTGTTGGTGTCTCTAAAGTCACGGGAGGGGGCCAGTGGGGCTGGGACCCAGGTCTCTGAGAAGGAGGTCCTGGCAGGCTCGTGCTGGGACCTCAGAGCAGGTCAGACGGGGTCGGGTCTGCAAGGGTCGGGAAAACTGTACGCGATGTGCAGCCTCAGCAACAGGAAGGCACTGCCCCATCCAGGACTAGGAGCGTTGTTGGGGAATCGCTCGCTCACAGGAAGCAAACGGGAAACCCACAAAAAACAACAGAAACAGATCCTTGTTTCCTCCTCCAGTGCTTCCTGCTGGCAGAGTCCCAGTGAGCCAAGTGGCAACGTATACTCGTGATTTTGAGAGTTCCAGCCTCAATTTCATGAAGCAGCTGAGGAACCACAGCTTAAGGACTGGTACACCGTACCAATGAGATCACGTCGCGTTGGTTGACGAATCCACTATTCAACTGCCACTTCCTACCTGTACAACTGCAGGCCTTGGCCCCCCCGTCTCCCGCGTCATTTCCTTTCCGGCGTCCCCGGAGTCCCCCAGATATGTCTCACATATACTGGGAATATCTTTGGGGGTCAGAGTCCAACACCGTTTCCAGGCCACTGTGTAAGGACTCCAGCTCCTCCAGGCCAACGGTGCTCATCTCTCCAAGGAGGAATCCACCAAACCCTAGCTCACCCTCTATCCCAGAAAGTTAATCCTTTAAGAGGAGTGGTGTTTCTTTCTTTTTGTTTTTTAATCAAATTGATTGGGGTGCATACACCTAAGCGCATAATTTGGTAAGTTCAGACGCATGCGCTCAGGTAACCACCACCAGAGTCAACACATAGAGCGTTTCCATCATCTCAGATGATGGAACCTAAGGTTCCCTTAGGGTCCTTTGCATCTAACCCTTTCCCCAAACCCCAGATCTGGGCAACCACTACTGTCATTTAGGTCCCTATAGTTTTGCCTCTTCCAGAATGTTTTATAAATGGAAACCTAAGACTATGCAGCCTTCCATGGCCTGCTTCTTTTCCTTAGCGTAATGCTTTTAAGATTCATCCTTTGATGTTGCATCTATCTGTAATTTCTCTCAGAGGAAAAAAACAAAAAACAAAAAACCATTCTATGAATATATGATAATTTGTTTATCCATTTACCCATTGGCGGGCCTTTGGTTATTTCTAGTTTTTTCTTACTATGCAATAATCTGCTATAAACATTCAATCGGTGGTGTTTCTGTGGACATATATGCTCCATTTGTCATGGGCATAGACTTAGTAGCGGAATTGCCTGGTCATACACAAAGTACGTATTTAACTTGATGAGAAAGTGTCAATTTTTTTTATACAGTTGCTACTCCATTTGGCATTCTAGCAGCACTTTGAGTCTTCAAGTTGTTCCACACCCCTGTCAGCTCTTTTTGTTGCCAATCTTTTAGATTTTAGCTATTATAGTGGGTGGTGTGGTGGTATCTCAATGGCAAACATTTTAACTCTTATTCCTCTAGTGAACACAGATGTTATGCATCTTTTGATGTACTAATCGGCCATCCATAAATATCTTTCTTTGGTGCAGTATCTGTTATAATCTTTTGTCCATTTTTAGAGATTTTGTCTCATTATTGAATTCTAAGAGTTCCTTCAATATTCTAGATGTCCTTTACTGATAGGTGTGTTGCAAGTATTTTCTCCAGTCTGTGGTTTGCCTTTTTATTTTTAGAACGGTGTCTTTTAGAGAGCAGACATTTTCAATGTTAATTAAATCCAATTTATGAATTTTTAAATTGGGCTTTTTATGTCTTTTGTGAAAAGTCCATGCCTAATCTCAGGCCATATGAGTTTTTCTCCTAAATATTCTTCTAGAAGTTTTGTATTTTTAGCCCTAACACTAAGTTCCCTGATCCATTCAAGTTAGTTTAAATTTCTGTATAGGAAAGGATCAAGATTCATGTTTTGCATGTGGCCGACTTCGGCTCAGGTCATGATTTCACTGCTCCTGAGTTCAAGCCCCGTGTTGGGCTCTGGGCTGACAGCTCAGAGCGTGGAGCCTGCTTCGGATTCTGTATCTCCCTCTCTCTCTGCCCCTTTCCCAAACCTGCTCTTTCTCTCTCTCTCTCTCAAAATTAAATAAACAATAAAAATTTTTTAAATAAATAAATAAAAATATTATTTCACTATTGAATCAGAAAAGGCAGTATAACTTGCTATAAATTATAAGTTATTATAAGAAAATGAAAAACTTAAAAGTTCTTAAATTTCAGCTAGACACTGTCATCTGATTAAATACTTGAGCTTCCACTTTGTTGTAAAAGGAAATTAGCAAGAGCTAACGAAGTATTACAGCTACATTGGCACTAACCCAAGATGTAATGTGTTTGTGTGTATCTAGGGTTATAAATACAAACCTTTGGGGAATACTCATAGCAGAAACACCTGTTGATAGTTTTAAAATGTCAAATGAATACATATTTTAAATATATTTTGAACAATGTAAAACTATGTAAACCTTCATTCTGATGACTTTGCTTCTTTGAAAATATGCTATGAAAACATCCTCCAAGGGCACAATGTCTGAAAACTGTTCTTAGCAACACGTTTGTAACAGTGAAAAATCTGGGACATCCTGTTTTTCAATTAAAAACCGGATAAATGAATTATGCAAAATTTACAATATGGCACTCTGTGTTCTCTTAAAAAGCATGAGATAGAACTGTATGTATTCACAGGAGGAGTACCAATAATATATTATTTAGTGCAAACACAAAATTGCAGCTGAAAGGTAAATAAAGATGTCATTGTTTTTTCTAAGGAAAAAATATGATTGTGTATGCATTTTATTATGCACATAAAAATAGAACTGAATGGATATACCAAATCAACAGCAGTCACTTCTGCAAAGTTCAATAGAGGTAGAATTTCACTTAAAACTCTGCACATCTTGGGGTGCCTGGGTGGCTCAGTCAACTGAGTATCCGACTCTTGGTTTTGGTTCAGGTCATAATCTCGCAGTTTGTGGGCTTGAGCCCTGCATGGAGCTCTGTGCTGGCAGTGCAGAGCCTGCTTGGGATTTTCTCTCTGCCTCTCTCTCTGAAACTACCCTGCTTATGCTCGCACACATCTGCATGCATGGTCTCTCAAAATTAAACTTTAAAAAAAAAAAAAAAGCTTTGCACATCTGTTTATTATTTGAATTTTTGATAAACGTGTGCTACTTTCATCATTTAAAAAATGAAATGACCATTATTCAAAACAATTAAAACATCCATCGAATAAAGAGTTCAGATAATGATTTACCAAAGGTACCAGCTCATATATGCTATCTGCCTTTCATTTATTCTTAAAAATTTCCCTTCTTATTTGCCTTAAACAAACCTGTTGAGATAATCGTTCACCTGTTTGGATGTATGCATCCAAATCAGTCTCATAAAAAGGATACTGTGATGTTGTGCAAACACAGTACTACAAATATAAATCACTGAGTAAAAAACAGGGTCTGTAACAACCAGGGGTCTAATCTGATCGTTCCTTTACTGAAATCATAGCAGGAGTCTCCTAACATCCCCTATGTATGTAGTATTGTTATGGTGCAAAGCAGGAACTTGCTACTGCAGTCTTCTTGCTTAGCCAATGAAACCGTCTAAAGAATTGAGGTCACAGGACAAACGCCTTCCCAGATCTCTGAGATCTACACATGCACACACACACAGACGTTCATACACAACCTTTCTGCTATCTTCTAAATTCCTGAACTCAGAGAAAAACAAAACAAAACAAAACAAAGCTAATATGTATTAAGCACTAAGTGCTACCCCTGTGCTAAAAAATATACATTATCTCATTTTATTATTAAGTAGCCTCATAAGGAAAGCACCACTGTTATTCCCATTTTACTGATGAGCCTCACAGAAGTTAAATAATTTGACCAACTTGGATCTGAACCCAGCCCACCCTACACACCAAGGCCCAACCTCTGAACTACTGAGCTACTTCTGTATGGTGATGAAGCGCATTCCACCGACAGCATTCTGCTCACAAATGAATGACTAAGTGATAGTGTGGGTACAAAACTGGGGACATGTGACATGTGGTGGGTGAAAACAGTGGTGAAAAGAATGGAATATGATACCACTGTGAATAAAAATCACATCATCAAGTTTTAATCCGTTTGATAGTGTTTAACAAGGAACTTACCTAATCAAATCTAAAGGCTGCTCCTTGTAAAAATAGGAAAACCGAGCCCAATTCTGGCAAAGTGTGTACCTCTCGTTGACAGGGTTAGGAGGTTCTGATGGCTTCCAATATTGACCCTACAGATAGTCAAAATGAAAGTACTTGAATGACAGAGCAAAAGATGAGGGTGAAGCAAATAAACACTGTTTTATAGGAAGTTTAGTGAATGAATCAAATGTTCTCTTTAACTTTTAGATTTGGATTTTCATATCCCATTGATGTGCAATTATCTCCCGAAAACTACAATAAACGATGACACAAGGGATTCATTAAATTCTCGCACCCAGTTATTTAAAAATACAAGTTAAAGTCTGAACCTTTGGCTTTCCTCAAGCTGCTCTTTCACGTCGAAAGCCCTTTCTTTACTCAAATTATACTAGAATAGTCACAGCTCAGGGATTAATATAACTATGTAACTGGCTGGGACATTAGAAATAGGCTAACACTTTTACTTCACATATAGAAAAATTAGACCCAAGCAACGTCCAGTGAATGATCCAAAGTCATCCTGCTATGACAGGAATCTCCTCCAGAAAACTCATCTGGTCCTCACTGGCAATCACTGCCACCATTTCCCAGAAAACTTGAAATATGTATCACAAACTTTACACCAAAGAACCTCAGTATTGTTTCATGCCTAAGATTTTCCCCATTGTTACCTACTGAATAGCTTTATTAATACCCCTTCACAACAGAGCAGAATACTAGTGCTGTCTACACATGGCAGTTCAACACATTCTTTCAACTGCTGGTCCAGACAAATGAACTGCTAGAGACAGCATGAATGAATATCCAATCTAAATTAAGCACATGTGAAAATCTCTATGTGATAAGATAGAAGATTTTCTATCACGTAGATTCCGTCTTGTTTTCTTCTTCTGTCACTAATCCTACTGAATCTTGAGAAACAAAATAATAAAAAGGCAGCCTATTTGGGTATCTTGAAAAACCATTCTTTAAAGCACATAAGGGAAAATCTAGCACCTAAACTTACATTCAGGATAGAAAACAAAGAAAAAAAAGTAGAATTAATGGTAAGTTACATCTATCTCTAACAGCTAAGGTTTCTAGTGATCATAAAGCACCCTGCTTGCTGGAAGGTTTGATTTATGGATTAAAGTTGCTGCTGACTGAGGATATTAGTTTGGTTTAATGACCTGGTAATAGTAAAAAGGGAATGAATGCCCTAAAAAGAAATAATTCTCAAAATCTTCAAAAGGACTTCTTTTCTGTGAAAACTGACAGAGAATGCATTGTGAAATGTTTTATTAACCCACCATATATATCTCTCTCTACTAAATGGCCATGGCTTTTATTTTGAATCTATAATCACCTAGAAATTCTTTTGCCCAAGGGGGAAAAATGTGTGTACAGGCAGAGGGAGAGGTGGGGAAGGAGGATGATTTCTCTAACACTTAAATTAAATTCACCTGAATTGATACTCCTGTTAAACACTGCCACCCATTTAGGGCACCTGGATGGCTTAGTCAGAGAAGCAGCTGACTTCGGCTCAGGTCATGATCTCACGGTTTGTGGGTTTGGGCCCCATGTCAGGCTCTGTGCGGACAGCTTGGAACCTGGAACCTGCTTTGGATTCTGTCTCCCTCTCTCTCTGCCCCTCCCCCACTTGCACTTTGTCTCTCTTTCTCTCTCTTAAAAATAAACATTAAAATAATAATAATAATAAAAAAAACCTGTCACCCATTTAGGAAAATTCCGTTTAATCAGCTTGACAGTTGTTGAAGAGACCCAGTTCATTAAAAGGCATCTCACCTTACAGAGAAATCATTTGTGAAAGGAAGAATCAAATCGATGTAGCAAACTTCACTGTCTTATTTTAACAAATTGCCACAGCCACCCCAATCTTCAGCAATCAGTTTCCAGCTGTCCAGAAGCAAGACCCTCCACCAGCAAGATTATAATTCGCTGAAGGCTCAGATGATGGTTAGCATTTTTAGCAATAAATTATTTTTTTAATTAAGGTGTACATTGTTCTTTTTTAGACATAATGCTATTGCGCACTTAACAGACTACAGTATTGTGTAAACAATTTTATATATGCAGTGGGAAACCAAAAAACTCATGTCTCAAAAAAACAAGACATGAGGGGCACCTAGGTGGCTCAGTTGGTTAAGCATCCGACTTCGGCTCAGGTCATGATCTCGTGGTCTGTGGGTTTAAGCCCTGCATCGAGCTCTGTGCGGACAGCTCAGAGCCTGGAGCCTGCTTTGGATTCTGTGTCTCCCTCTCTCTCTGCCCCTCCCTCACTCGCACTCAGTCTCTCTCTCACTCTCTCAAAAATAAATAATCATTAAAAAAATTTTTTAAAATAAATAAGAAACATGAAATACACAAATGTTGTTGGAAAAATGGTACCAATGGACTTTTTCAACACAGGGTTGCCACAAACCTTCAATTTGTAAAAACACACACACACACACACACACACACACACACACACAAGAAAATGCCTGTCATTAAAATCAATTATGTATCTAATAAATGAACACATTAATGCACATAATTCAAGTCCTTTATGGATTCAAAACTTTATAAATTAGAAAAGATCTGATGGAGATAGAAATTTCCACATATTCTGTAATGTTCTTTTAATGAAACCACTATTTTCAATATGAGTTCTAAAGAAAATTCACACACAAATGTAATATTTTTTTAAAATAAATTTCCATTAAAACCTCAATGTAAAGATGTATAAACTATGTGCTTCAGCATAGCTGTTAAAGTTCTCAGCTTGGAACTAGGGAGTTTGAGGGATTTTCCCAACATGAGAAAGAATTAAGCAACCTGTCCTAAAGAGGAAGCAAAGGGAAGATTCTCTCTCGCAACAAGGCAACCTCTGAATGTGGGAGAGGAAAAATGGATTCAGGATTTCAAAACCAAGCTTATACTTACATCATGGAGTGGATAGGCAGATGAATAGGTATTAGAAGTTAGCAGTCTTTCAATCCCAAACTTTTTCTTCCCATCTTCTACGCCAAAAGGGCACCGTGAGAGAATATAATAAACCTATGACGTAATTTGAAGTAAGCATTAGACAACACATTTCTGAACTTTATGCTTTCCACATTTTGTTTCCATCACAATTTAACAATGTCCAACTTTGTCTGAATGTAGACACAGGCTCTGAACCTTCCCTTTGTTGTCTGAAGGAAGATGTAGAAGGTGGGGTGGTGTAGTTTGCACACACAAACTCTGCCCCTCCCCTTCCCCACCACGCATGTGTGCACTCTGTCTCAAAATAAATAAATAAATAAACATTAAAAACAAAAAGCAAGAGGGGGAGGAAAACTATTGCAAGAGCGATATCTGCAGACATCTGAAAAGTCAGGCAGAAAGGGTCTTTTCATTCATTCATTCATTCATTCATTTGGGAGAGGCAAGGCAGTTTCAGAGAGCATCTTTCTTTGTGTTAAGGCAGGACTGTTACACCTGCCAGTGTCGGCTTGGGTTAAAGGTACATCAAAGGTAAGGGTCCTGTGGGAGCCAAGTTTAATCAAAATTTGGTCAGTTTAGCTAACAAATACTTTGATGGGTCAGTGCAGATAAATAGTTCAGCTAGCCATTTATCCAACAAAGAGCGGGCATGTGGAAGGCCTGTGTCTGACTCTTATTACCATAAACTAATAACAAAAGGGAGAAATTATAAGGCTAGGTGTGAATCTAAATTTCCCTGGAGCCACAAGGGAAAGGGATTTCCTCCATCTCTCTCAGAGTATTTCTTTAGAGAACTTATAAATTTTTTCTCCATCCCTTTGAGATTTATATAAATCTGTAAAAATCTACTAGATAAGCCTCTTGACAGTTTTACAATGCAGGAGTGTGTTTCTTAAGTTTTCTAGGACCCATCTCTTCTAAATGTAAACGTCAAGAAAGACAGCATCACTACCTCCCTGTCTCTATGGCAGTGTAGCCCGGGCAACTGGCTCCAACTTGTAACTACTCACTTGCCATAGAGGCATGAGAAGCTTAATTTTTTTTCTTGGTATAAAGACAACCAACACAAATGGACACGCCAATGACCAGGAGAATTTAGGATGAACTATGTGGCAAATGGTGCTCTCAAGTCAAATTGGGAGATGGGGGTGGTGGTTATCTATGAATATTCTTTAAGTCATGTGGTGAAGGGCGATCCTTTACAGTTTCCCAGAATAAGAAGAGTGGGCGATTTCTGTAACTGTCCATTTTCCACGACTACAGAACTCAAGTAAAGTTCAACATTGCCAGTATCGATGCAAGAATGGACAAAAAAGATCAAAGCTGTAGAGCACAGCCCAGAAGTAGGCCTATGAATGTATAGATACGTGAGTTATGACAAAGGTAAAAGTGAAAAATGGTGAAAAGGTGAATGTTTTCAGTAATTGTTGCAAACCGATGACCACATATATGGTGGGAAAACTGCACCATGCACAAAAATTAATTCCAGGTGGACAGTAGTCCTCAATGGGGAAAGTAAAGTAATACAACTTCAAAAAAATAATATAGGAAATTAACTTCATGGTCTTGGTGGTAGTTAAAGATTAAGAGCATGATTCATAAAGTAAAGGCTTGAGGAATTGGACTACATTAAAATTAAAAACATCTGTTGAGCAAAAGAAACCATTAGAAAGAGGAAGCAAGAAGTAGGAAAAGATCAGTAAACATATATAATGAACAAAGGGCTCATAAAAGGAATATATAAACAATTCCTACCAATCAACAAGTAAAGAAAAGACCTAATTGAAAAACAGACAAAAGACTTTAGCAGGGACTTCATAAAAGCGCATATCTAAATAAGCAATAAACATATACAAGGAGAATCAATCCCACTTATATCAGTGAAAGGCAAATTAAAACCATAATGATGGAGGCGCCTGGTAGCTCGGTTGAGCGTCGACTTTTGATGTCAGCTCAGGTAATGATCTCAGGGACATGAGATTGAGCACAGCATTGGGTTCTGCACTGAGTGTGGAGTCTGCTTAAGATTCTCTCTCCCTCTGTTCCTCTCCCCCACTCACATGCTTGCTCGCTCTCTCTCAACAAAACAACCATCATGACACATACACAAATAAATTTCAAAACCAAGTAATGAAAATGAATGCACAATAACTCATATAAGAGCTAAATTAATCACACAAATAAACGTTAAGCCAAAGAAGCCATACTCAAAAAAGAATATATACGGCATGATTCCGTTTTTGTGAAGTGTAAAAACAGTGTAATCTTTGCTGTTGGAAGTTAAAGCCCACCTCTACTGAGGATGATGGAATAGTGATTGGAAGGAGGCAGCAGGGTCTCTGGGGGGCTAGCAAAGTCTTCTCCTTGATATGGGTGGTGGTTACATGGCCGTGTTTGTTTTGTGTTGTTTCAGTGTGCTGTACATTTATGACTTGTGGGCCTATCTCTATTCATGTTATGCTACAATTACAAAAGAAAGAAAAAGAAAGCTTTGTAAATACTAGTGTCAAGAATGCTATGGAGCACTGAGCACTCCATCTGTTGTTACTAGGACTCTAAATTAGTACATCTTTTTGTCAAGAGTGATAGTGTAATATAAATATTTTTTAATGTTTATCTTTTTTTATTTTGAGAGAGAGAGAGAGCAGGGGAAGGGCAGAGAGAGGAAGGGAGAGAATCCCAAGTAGGCTCCTTGCTGTCAACACAGAGCCTAATGCAGGGCTTTGATCCCATAAACCATGAGATTGTGACTTGAGCTGAAATCAAGAGTCATATGCTTAACTGACTGAGCCACCCAGGCGCCCCATGTAATATAAAATTTTAAATTATTAACTTATTAAAATTGTTGTGTTTTAATGTTGAATTAATCTAAGGTATTGGCACTCTTTATACAGAAGCAGTAAAAATAAATGGATACTAGTATTTCTATACTTAATCTAGTTCCTAATTTGGTCTGGTTCGCCGGCCTTTTGGTAGCTACTTTTTAACGTAGTAAGTCTATCTAAAGTACTTTACAATTTGCAGAGTGCTTCACACACATTCTTTCATTTGGTTTTGACAGAAATGCCAGTGTTGACCATCATTATCTCTGTTTTAAGAGAGGTTGTTTTATTTAGAGAGCAGCAGAGTTATGACTTGAAACCAGGTCTTCTGATTCCATGTCATAGGCTCTTTACTCCCTTTTTAGAGATTGCCCCTTAGGTTGTAGTTGTGGTGGTGGTGGTGGGTTTTTATTGCCGGGAAGAAAAGGGAGAAAATTTTTAGTTTGTAGGTTCATATTTTTATATGCAAATTCTAGGCATTGTATTATATGTCATATTCCTGTCCGTGAATTAAAAAAAAAAAAAAATGAGAAACTAGAAAAAATGATGATTTCAAAATCCTTAGTCACTGAAGAGTGCTGAACCTAAAAGAAATAAGTCTCAAGTTGGGAAAGGCAGTAAGTGATCATTAAGACCCTGGTGAGGGGCGCCTGGGTGGCGCAGTTGGTTCAGCGTCCGACTTCAGCCAGGTCACGATCTCGCAGTCCGTGAGTTCAAGCCCCACGTCAGGCTCTGGGCTGATGGCTCAGAGCCTGGAGCCTGTTTCCGATTCTGTGTCTCCCTCTCTCTCTGCCCCTCCCCCATTCATGCTCTGTCTCTCTGTCCCAAAAATAAATAAACGTTGAAAAAAAAAAAATTAAAAAAAAAAAAAAAAAAAAAAAAAAA